ACAATTAAATATATAGTCCAGATGATGAAGCATACAGAAAATGCCAGTAACAGAAGGCACCTCACAAAATGAAATAGCAGAGAGATGAAAGGGTAATTAAGTAGATGCTTTGAAAGCTTCAAATCTTTTATGTGAAGGATATTAGGCCTAGAGTAGGATAAAGCCGGCAACAGAACATAGGCCTTTGTATAGCAGAGGATGCTGAATAAATGTTATGAGAATAAAACTTTCCTTTGAATGACTTGCATTCCACTAATTAACCATTAGTTTAGTTTTCAAAACAAAAGGTTAATTTTTCTAGTAGTTTGTTGAGAACATCTTCTATATGAACAGATCAGCATATGTATCTGTTTTTAAGAGAGTTCTTCTTAGTTAATGTAGTCCACCAGCGAAGCCCATCAGGTAACAGATAAGCCTGTGAGAATTAGGATGGACCTATTTCATGTATAATACATAAATAGAATGCAATAATCCCCCATTACATCATGCGTGTACTGAAGATGCTCTGGGGCCTATTTTGATTGCAGAATCCCAACCAAGGACTACACTCCTCCTAATTATTGCAGATGCAAGGAAATTATGCTAGTGCTGTTGCAGGATTTCCTCATGTTAATCTTATCTATATCTTGTTCTTTCTCAAGGGGAAATCAGAGAATATAATCAGTCAAAATGATTTTTACAAACACCAGGATCAACTAATTTTCCCAACTCTATCTTTCCACTCAAAGGAGGACACAGTGTTTATGAAATCAATAATAGCTAATTTTATCAATGATTCTACCAAAACAGCTTAACCCATGTCCTTTCCCCTCAATCCAGTCTACGGCTTTCCCAAAGGGAGAAGATGTGCATTAGTTGAATCACTTTTCTTGATGACAGAGAACATAGAGAATGTTGATTCCCTATTCTCAGGCAGAGAAAATGAATAACGTTAGGGGTAAACAAAGTGATTGATAAACTACTTCACCTCTTGATGTCATTCACTCTGCCAAATTACACTTTAAATACAGTACTCCTTAACTTACAACAGTTTGTTAAGTGACCATTCGAAGTTACGTCAGTGAAAAAAAGTGACTGATGACCACTGCAACATCCCCACGGTCACATGATCAAAATTGAGATGGCTGACAACCGACTCATGTTTATGATGGTTACAGTGTCCCAGAGTCATGTGATCACCTGTTACAACCAAGCAAAGTCAATGGGGAAGCCCAATTCACTTAACAATCGTGCTACTAACTTAACAGCTGCAGTGATTCACTTAACAATTGGGGCAAGAAAGGTTGTAACATGGGACAAAACTCACTTAACTGTCTCGCTTAGTAACAAAGTTTTGGGTTCAATTGTAGCCGTTAAGTCGAGGGCCACTGTACATACATGTAATAATATTTAAGCCAAATCCAGTTGATTTAAGCCAAATCCAGTCCAGTTAAAGGACCTTTGGCTACTAAGTTTATTTCTAAAATTAATTTCCACCAATGTATTTTGCACTATATGCCCCAAGCTGTACTGTGGAGACCAATTTTTGATTCTCCAAATGATCTGGAAACTCATTGGATGATTTGAGGCCAAACACTATTTCTTATCCCAGCCTATTTTACAGGGATGCCTTTGGAAGAGTAAAACATTCAGAAATACAGTATAGAAACATAATTATCTCACCTTGGGCAATGACATCTTCAATATTTTTCCCATTTAACTCACTAATTACCTGCAGAAAATAAAATTAAGGAGTTAATTTAACAGCTAAGCAGCTAGTTTGATGTAGTGGTGAAGGTGCTGGCCTAGAAATCAGGAGATGGAGTTCTAGGCCTGCCTTAGGAATAAAAGCTGACTTTGGACCAGTCATTCTTTTAACCTGGCCTACCTCACAGGACTGTTGTGGGAACATAGGATGCAGAAGGATTAGATATGTTTACTGCATTATATATATTAAAAGGTTGGGATAAAAATCTAATAGTAATAATAAACATGGTGCTGCATCTGTGCTCTTGAAAAAACATTGTCCATCTCCTATTAGGATGGGAACAATCACTTGAGCTATCTGCACAAATTGCAGAACAATAATCTGCAAATTCTCAATATTAAGCTCTATAAAGCAGATTACAAATATAATCACAATAAAGGAGGATAACTCACATTGGACTCAAAATAAGCAATTGGTTCCATCTACTACATTTCCTATCAAAGTATTTCTATAGAACTATATCTTGTTTGTTTGAATCTAAACATTAAATATTATCATTCTCTGCATTCCCCCAAAGCAAGCAATATTTATGTTACTCTTGGCTATCTAGACTACATTCCCTAATAATAGAGTTTAGTTAAATACTACTACTTCAAAGATGTGCATTCATCAGCAAGAGGCCTTGAAACTAGCATATATAAGAAAAATTGTACAATATATGAATTAAAAAAAAATCACATCCTATACAAAACAATGCACATATTTCCAAAGGTTTTAAGAACCTTCTAGCCTTCAGTTTGGCAACATCCAATAAGCAGAAACAACTGGGGGGGGGGGGG